CCGTCCAATAATGTAAAATGCATGACTTTGCATTACGGTCCAGCGACGTGGTTTTTGACTTTGAGTCCTAGTGAATGAAAATGGTCCGATTTGGGTGAATATTTACGAGATATGAATCCCGATAAAGAAAAGTTAGGCATCAGCGAACTAGTCGCATACGACCCTGTAAGTACTTCTAGATTCATGTGCATAAAATTCAAAGTCATGATTGATTTTATTTGTTCGTCCGATAATCCAATAGGAAAGGTTATTCATTACTTCTGGCGATTGGAATATCAAAGTAGAGGTATTCAGCACATGCATTGTATGATTTGAATAAAAGATGCTCTAGTAATAGGAAAATCGCCGGATGAAGAAGTTGCTACGTTTATTCGAAAATACGTAACGTGTGAAATTCCAGATGAAAATGTTTCGCCAACGTTGTACGATACGGTAATAAGTGATCAGAATCATAAACATAACTCGTATTGCATGCGTACGAAAAAAACGGAAACTAATATATACAGAAAGTGTCGGTTCGATTTTCCTCGGCCGGTTACTGAGAATTTCGTTTTAAGAGACGTTATCACTTCGATAGTCGGTAGAAAAAATTTACGCAGTAAGAGCAGATTGTACGATCTTCCTCGCAAGGAGTCGGAAAGGTTTATAAACGATTATAATCCGGCTATCAAATTAGCCTGGGAGGGAAATATGGACATACAATTTATTGGAGAAAAATCAGAGTTTTTAAACTCATATTTAACAAAATACACGACAAAGTCGGAAAAATGCAATACAGACTTTGAAGTGATAGATTCGAATAAGTCCTTGGCATCGAAACTGTGGAATTTTGCAATGCGTTCATTTAATAACAGAGAATACGGTGCTTTAGAAGCTGCGGATACACTATTAGGGAATCCCTTGTACGGTACGGATAATGATACCATGGTCAAATGGATCGATGTTAATGAGGTGAGAAATAGAAAAGTTAAAACATTTAATGAAATTAAAGCTCTCGATGAAAATTCTACGAATATTTACTGTTCGTCACTCATCGATGATTACTATCCAAATAGACCTCAGGAATTAGAATCATTGAATTTGTACGATTTTGCCAGATTCTGGGAAATTACGAAACAGATGCCAAATAATGACGAAGTCAAGTGTTACAAACTGGCATCGGGTTTATTTTTAAAAAAAACGAAAAAAGGGTTATTTAATTAACCATTATCGATTTAATATAAAAACTGAGCCCGAAAAATACTTTTACTCGCTGCTTCTTCTGTTCAAACCATGGAGAGATTTGAGTGAACTCAAAGGTACATTCGAGACTTACACGGATGCCTTTAAGAATTCAGAGTCTGTTTTAACGAAGGCAATGAAATATCACGAAAGGCTCGAAGAAATACAGAAAGCTTTTGAGAACGTTGCTGAATTAATCGAGAAGCGCGAAAATGATCTGAAAACAGCAGACAGAGACAAATCCGATGACGATGAACTGGATTGTAATCCGATAGAAGCTGACGACGCGATGAAAGATCTGGAAGATTTTGGTAAGATTGACGACCCGATTGATTTATCGCTAATGATGTCGCAATTGAACGAAGACCAGAAAAGAGTCTTTGATGGAGTATGCCAAGTTTTACAAGATAAGAATCAGATTCTGCGACTGTACGTAAATGGCGAGGGTGGTACAAGGAAAAGTTTTCTAATTGAAACGATTAAACATTGGATCAGAATAAATTTGGAAAAAACGACTGCCATATCTGCTCCCACGGGTATCGCAGCATTCAATATCGATGGCTTGACAATCCATAGAATGTTTCAACTACCCGTTAGTCATGAATCTACACCAAAATATACGCAATTATCAGACATGGTCTTGAAAACTTTGAGAGACAAATTAAAGAATGTCGAATTATTTATAATCGATGAAGTATCCATGATTTCAAATGTGACATTTATGTTTATCAATCTACGATTATGTAAAATCTTTGATACGACAGATACAGATGATGGTTTCTTTAGCAGAAAACACATTCTCCTGTTTGGGGACTTGTTGCAGCTTCCTCCTGTAAAAGGACAATTTTCGTTTGTTAAAATGTCTCGATCAGAGATTCAGAAGTATTTAGGTACCATGGGTGGATGTGATTTGTGGAGATTGTTCGAGTACGACGAACTTTTGATTAATATGCGACAAAGATGCGACAATACATATCGTGATATACTTTCTAGAATACGAATAGGTTTAGTAACGGATTCTGACATCAATGTTCTTTAGTCTAGAAAAATCAATTTTAAAGAAAATAGTTGCGACGAAAGATTGAATGAACTTTGCACTTATATGAATCAATTACCGATTGATACAATTTGTTTATTGCCCACGTGTTATTTGTGCAAGGTTTTGAACACAGCAATGCTCGATAAAATCGACAGCGATGAAATTCTACTGATAGCAGAAGATGATGTCGACTGTGCTCCAGCAATGAAAAAAAAGGTGCATAAAATTTTGGAAGACAAAGATGATAAAGTGTCTGAAACAGCTGGCATTGAAAGAGTAATAGCAATTAAAATTGGCGCTAAAGTGATGATTCAACGAAACATTGACGTAACTTTGGGACTTGTCAATGGAACGATAGGCAATGTAGTTGCAGTTAATCGCTCTGCTGACGGCAATCGTATTGATTCCATCAAAATAGTTATTTCGGATAACAAAGAAATCGCAATAACAAAAGTAGATATTAAATTTGAAGTATTCCACAAATTAGTGGTACATCGAAAACAATTTTCATTGTCTCTCAGTTATGGAATAACTATACACAAAAGTCAAGGAATTACATGTAACAATGCAATGATGGATTTAGGAACGACTGTATTCAGTGATGGTCACGCCTATGTAGGTTTGTCACGAGTAAGTAAATTGGAAGGTCTACATTTGATAAATTTCAATCCAGCATCAGTTAAAGCAAACTCGAGAGCCATTGTAGAATATAATCGACTGAGATCTATATTCAAATCTGAACTGCCACAAATCAATCCGTCCGAGAAAAAGGTTGTGAAAATGTACGATCGTCGATGGGCTATCCCTAATATCATTGATGATGTGCAGAATTATGATTGTGAGGAACCAGAAAGTATAGTTACGTGGAAAATATATGGTCTTTGCAATAACGATGCCGTTTCGTGTTACGCTAATGTAATATTACAATGTGCGTTTCATTGCGTACGTATTAGGCAACAAATACTGAAAAATAAAGCATTGAATGCATTGACTGATGCCATCTGCGCGTATGGTGAACGTAAATATTGCAACATTCAAGCGGTTAGAAGATCTGTCGGAAAACGCTTCGAAGAACGAACACAAGTTGTTTCGGAATTTTTTACGGCTCTAATGTCGACGTATTCCGACATCAATGATGAATTCGAATTACGAGCAATTATTTTTCATTGTACGGGCTAGTATGAATTTCAAATCAAATATCTATAAACGACTATTATAATTTGTGCACTAATTGTAAGAATAACATATCGCACTTATTTCTAGAATCAAATTGTAATCAGTTTTACTTATATGTATGTATGTTCAATGTAAACTTGCACCTTGAATAAAATATCACAGTTACTTTTCATGGTAATATATTATTACTAAATTTAGATAATATACACTTTACGTATGTTCACACTTTGAACTGGCACCTTGAATAACATATCAGTTACTTTTCATGGTAATATATTATTACTAAATTTAGATAATATACACTTTACGTATGTTCACTTTGAACTGGCACCTTGAATAACATTATCAGTTACTTTTTGTGATAATTTATTATTAGATCGTTTAAATTTTTAAAGGTTTAAATTTTTGAGTACCTTCTTTTGAACATGGCCTGACCTTTTCATTTTTATGATTTTTTTAGGATAGTCGTATGATGAACTAGTAAAAATAAAAAATTTTAGTTAAAAAATTTGAGACGCTATTGTAAGAATAAAGTGATAAAGGATGACTAAAAGGAGCAAGAAAGATCAGATTTTAATGAGTCCAATAATATATTTCGTAGTTCAATATTCTTAGTCAATCTTACTTCGGCGATGGCTCGAGGAAGACTCCCCATTTTCGTTGTCCGTACTTAGAACTTTTTCCCCTACTTTCTCGCAGGCTCTCGTTTTCCTACGTCTCGCGTAAACACGTATTGTTCGCTTATTATTCTCTTCGACTTTCACATTTCTTTCTCGCTCGATCATCGCTCTCGTTATTATTTCTACTACACATTCAATTCTGTGCAGAAACCTTCGATTAATTTTTTTTCTCACAGAACGGAAAACATTTATTAGATTACTGGTTCGACTGTTTGTACGAATTAGGAAGGATGTGATCTGGATAAATTACTCGTGGTTTGTTAAATGAGTGACTTTATTCAAAATAATTAAAGTGAAAGTAAACTTGATTCGCTATCTAGGCTTTGCTCGCGAAAAACTCCACCGAGCTCTTGAGATGATCGTTCTCCACCGAGCTCTTCGGGCCGACCTCTCTTCAAAATACGCAGGATCGACGGCAACGACAGCCGATCGATCCTTCGCTTGGACGCGTGGCACGCGCGTGCCGAAACGTGATTTGCTAGCGAGGCTCGAAGGCTCGAGACAAAGGCGCGTTTTTGTCAACTTCTCGCGCTCGGAATTGAAAATACGCGGAATAACAACTCGGCGGCGAATATATTCGTGACCTTGCTTTAGCATTCTCGCAAGGCTTTTATAATTTTAAACATATCGCCCGCCTTACATGCGAACAAATGCGAAAATATTTTAACCGCTCTACAAGTAAAGTACAAATACAATCGGTGTTGATATAGGAACAATAATGCGAGAGCTAAGAGAGCGAACATTTATACAAAATAAACTCAAAATATTTCTAAATTATAAGGACGACTTACGGAACAATATAAATATAAGCACTGAATACATCACAAGTCACAAAGTCCTTTATATGACAATGTTTTTCTTAATTATCGCACTGAACTGACAGTTTACACAGTAGCGTGATTGGTCGTTTCAATATTGAACAACGCGGTTCTCACGGTAACTACTCGAACGAGTCTGTCGGATTCGGGATGGACCCGAGTGACTCGCGCGAGTTCCCATTTGCTCGGAGGGAGCAAAGGATTTTTTAACAACGTGAGCTCGCCAACACGAAAACAAGGCGATCTTTCTAACCACTTATATCGCTGTTGCAGCAAATGTAAGTAGTCTTGCGACCAAGCACGCCAGAGTTGTTCCACCATCGAATGAACGAACTGCCATCTCGAAAGTCGATTCGTATCTATCGCGAGTACTGATTCCTCCGGTATCGCAACGATCGGTCGGCCTATTAAAAAATGACCCGGAGTGAACGCGGACAGATCGCTCGGGTTCAAACATGCCTCTATCTGGCATAGGAGCGTAGCAAATTCAGCCTGCGACAGGGTACGCGAACCGGCTATCCGCTTTAGATGCGATTTGAGATTTTTCACGCCCGCCTCCCAAAGTCCTCCGAAATGAGGAGCTGCGGACGGGATAAAATGCCACTCAATTTTATCGTTAGCAAGAACGTCGTGTAGAGACGAATCTTTCATGAGCGCCTCAAATTCGCTGTTTAATTCCTTTTTAGCGCCGTAAAAGTTAGTTCCGTTAGAGTATAACTTACACGGTAAGCCTCGTCGGCTCGTGAATCGCCGAAAGGACACAAGAAATCCAGCACTGAAGCAATCCTCCACTAGCTCCACGTGGATCGCCTTGATAACGAGACAAACGAATAGAGCCACGTAACCTTTTCGTGTCCTTTGTCCTCTTCCAACGAAAGGCGTAATAAAAAAAGGACCAGCGTAGTCCACACCCGTATGCGTAAACGGTGACGACGGTTGCACGCGAGGAGAAGGCAAATCCCCCATCAGCTGACTCGATACTCTAGCTGAATAACGTATACACGAGACGCAATGCATTATATGATTTTTCACTAAATTTCGACCTCCTAGCAACCAATATCTTTGTCGGAATGTACGCAACACTAATTGAACTCCACCGTGGAGAGTGTGTTTGTGAGCCTGAGCGATTAAAAGGTACGAGACTTGTCCTCGCGGTACTAAAATAGGATGTTGCTCTTCGTAAGTGAGAGCAGCATTTTTCAACCGCCCGCCAAAGCGAAGTACTGCATCTTCGCCAACAAATGGAGTTAAAGTTCTAAGTGAACTTTTCTTCGAAACTGCGTTGCCTTTCTTTAGTGCTTTGATTTCGGATTCAAAAGCCTTCTTTTGTACGTACGACAGCCAAAATAATTCCGCTTTATTAAGCTCGTTGACACTCAGCGACGAGGTTGATTTGAAATTAACTTTCCTTTTCTTATCAATTAACGCGAGAAATCTACACACGTAAGCAGTTACTCTTATCAGCTTTGTCCAACTCGAGAATTTATAGAGCAAATCCCACTCGTCTGACCCTTCAACGTGAAGAACGGTGGGTTTTCGTTGCTCGCTAGATATCCTTTGTACTGCATTCATGGAGAGTGGAGCAGTAACGTCATGGATCGGCCAGGACGTGGAAGGCTCTTGAAGCCAGGGTAGTTCGGTCCACCACAGAGGATGTGATATTAATTCGGACGCGGACAAGCCTCGAGACGCACAATCCGCGGGATTGTCTCTCGACGGCACGTGATACCATCTTGCAGAAGGCAAATTATTTTGTACCTCCGATACCCTATTGGCCACGTACGTGGTCCACTTAGAGGGATGCTGGCGTAGCCATGCCAGCGCGATTGTTGAATCCGTCCAGCAATAGATTGGAGTTTTTATTAAATTTAACGAATTAATCGTTTACTTTATTAGGCGACTTAACAGCACGGCGGCGGTTAACTCGAGTCGCGGAATGATCACGATTTTTACTGGGGCGACCTTTGTTTTTGCAACGATCAAACTAATTGTAAAATCCGACAATGAATGAAAGACGCGAATATATACTACCGCGGCATACGCTCGATTTGACGCGTCGGTAAATTCGTGGATTTCAATCGCTATATTGTCTGGATTTTGACCCGTCCATCGCGTAATTCTAATTTTTTCTAATTTATTAAAATCTGAGACAAAGTCATGCCATCGTTGTTCTAACTCGTCGGGGATGCGCGTATCCCAATTGCATCGCGAAAGCCACAGCTCTTGCAAAAGAATCTTCGCGGTAATTACGACGGGAGCGGCCCAACCGAGTGGGTCATACAATTTCGCTACGAACAAAAGAATAGTACGTTTCGTTGGAGCAACGGATTTGATTGAATTGGCAATGAGGCAAAAGGAGTTCTCGAAAGGAATCCACGAAGTCCGAGCACTTTAAGAGACTCATCCGGCAATATGAGATGGTCGTTAACTTCCGGTTGATCGTGCGAAAGATCACGGAGAAGCTCATTCGTATTCAATGCCCATTTTCGGAGTTGAAAATCTCCTCTTCTCATTAGTTCAATTAATTGAATTGGCGTATCGTTTAGTGAATTCATATCGTCGGCGCCAAACAAAGTGTCGTCTACATAGATCGATTCATTTAGAATCGGAACCGCGGCGGGGTAATTGAAACTCTCATCAAGAGCGAGTTGTTTGAGAACGCGCATCGCGAGATACGGAGCCGGAGCAAGACCGTATGTAACCGTTAAAAGTCGAAAGTGTTCGACCGGTGCGTCATCCGTTAGACGCCAAAGAATTCTCTGAAAGTCTACATCTTCAGAGTGTACGCAAATTTGTCGGAACATCTTGGCGATGTCCGCCGTATAGACGTGGCGCCATTTACGCCAACGTGAAAGAACAGCAGGAAGGTCCTGCTGTAATTTAGGCCCAATTAATAGATGGTCATTCAACGTCGTGTCGTTCCGCGTTTTGCACAAAGCGTTGAAAACTACGCGCAACTTCGTAGTACAACTGATTTCCCGCAGCACTGGATGGTGTGGGATGTAAACCGGCAAAATTTTTTTTTTTCCGACTCGTTCACTTGAGTCATGTGTCCGAGAGATTCGTACTCCGCAAGAAATTCATTATACTGCGAGTGAATTTCGGACCAATTACGTAATTTCCTTCCATGCGGTTATACAAGGAACACGCGATGGATAACGATTCCCCGATGTCGATCGATGGATCGCGCTTGAACGGCAGTCGAACTATATACCTTCCGTCGGAAAAACGACTATGTGTCTTGACGAAATGCCGTTCACACCTCTCCTCCTCTTCCGTGAGAGGAGAATTCGATGAAACTTCCTCGTCTTCCCAAAACTTTTGGAGAAGCGAGTTAATGTCCTCGGCGAGAACGCTATTTAACACGGCTGCTTCCTTTGAAGCTTGTCTGTTTTTTCCAGTAGGGCCGGAAATTATCCATCCGAGCGCGGTTAATTAAGCGGTAGGAGTTCCAAAGAGGTTCCTGCCACAAATCGCGCATCAAAAGTGATCCGTAAACGTCCGCCCCAATCAGCATATGAATCTGATGCTTGCTTGACGGATTCGGATCCGCGAGGGAGAGGCCTTGCAAATGAGGCCACAGGTCAAC